TTTACAATGGAAGAGGACGCAACGGCGGCCTCTCGGTGGACCTTTGCAGCAATCTCTGCATAAGTAACTGGTGTTCTGGGAGGCTTAGTCTCGACAAGAGATATTTGAGCTACAGGTACCAAGGGTTGGTGTTTGGCTGCTCCATCCTTGTTAATACTAGATGTCAGGTCTAGTGGAATTTGCTTAACCAGACGTTTTGAATGGTGCCTGATTTTCTTTGCTGTGAGTACTGCTTGATTCACGTAGGTACAGTCTGTTTTCGCCTGGCGTTTTACCAAAGTTGGAGAAGACAACGGAGATGGAGACATGGCTGATTACGGTGCAGGCGAAGCGATTTGTTCAGCATTCCGTTGCTTAGCAGCCGCTACGCTTCTGTGGTCCATACTCGCTCCCATTGAAGTAATCTCATTGTTTATCCTCTGCTCTGCTTCTGCGATTAACCGGTCGCATTTCTCAGCTAGGATAAGCAAGCACTTAACGAGGGGGATGGTGGAACACGTAGTACAGAACCAAAATGCATCTTGGGAGCTATTTCGCTCCCGTAACTGTTGTTGGGACACATTTGCACATTTCGTATGGTACCATGCTAAACAGTGCGAGCAAGCCAGACCGATTTTTACCACCCGATGACATTCTCCTAACCCGCAAATGCCTTTCGATGGGAGTCTCTTCGGTTTCGCCTTTCTGCCATTCAATTTGGTGTCGTTACCTGACCCAGTGGGTTGGTTAGCGTTCTGTACTTTTACAGCTTTGAGAGCGGCGCACACCGGTCAGGCGAATGTGGTGATTGCAAGGTCAAATGAGCGGTCGGCGTGGTCGCGCGGTCCGTGTGATGGGTAATGCAGCCGCACTGGCTGACAAGGTCACAAGGAATGACGAGTGACTGCAACCTGAACAGAGCGCTGAATACAGATTCTTTCACAGCTGTGTTGAGAAACACTGGATCGGAGTAAGCTTAGGCTTTTCGGCCTGCCTCGAGAATTCTGTATCGAATGGTGTCACACAGAATGGCAATCGGCTCAATACGATTGAATTAAACGCTTGCGCTTAATCACAGATGCCAGTGAAAACGCTTAGCGATGGCACAGCCTCTAATCGTAGAAGATATTTCCACGTATGATGGATCACTGTGTAGAGCTGGTAAATCCGGTTCGAATGAGCGTACAGTGACAACGCTGCGAGAAGATGGAGAGAGGATAGAGGGAAATAATCCAAATGAACCAGTAGCACGCGCGTCACGCGTGTGCGAGGATGACCTTGAGATCGTAATATTAGAGGCACCGAACGAAACTATTGAAAGTTATCTGATGGCGCTCGTCAGCACTTTAGCCTATTTTCATTGAACTGTAAGCAGAGTGCGGGCATCAATGCTGGTTGGATTTAACGAGTCACGTATGTTCCACGGTGCATTTTATTTCAACAGCCCTTCACCTAGTTTAATGGATAACGAAGCAGTCAAGCACTCCCCTAATAGACGAAGACTAATAAACTTAAAGAGTTGGGTGAACACCTGTGGTGTTGCTGAACAGGCTTCTGGTGGCTACCCGCTTAAAAACTTTGACCTCCTAATAGCTGTGGCCCAGTCAGCGGCATCACTAGCTTTGCTTCCTTGGTTACCACCATTACATCTTTCATGAGACTCGTGTACTGCTTTTTTCGATATAACATTAAGCAGAACTTTTCTTCAGATTACTGGGCTCTTGCTGTTAGTATTTTCTTCATTATTCTCATTACTATTGCGCTCAACTGATGGATGGTCAACCAAATTCAACTGGAAGGTTAAACTGGTGGTCAACGTACAAACTGACAAAGCTCATTAATATCCTTAGGCTTAGCGCATACTTTAAACCTTAAGAACTGTTCCATTCGCGCATTTGCGGTTACTTTCTGGGACCTATTCGAGTGGTATCTTTGAAACTATATGTCCATGGCAATACCGGCAGTATAATATCTTTATTCGTGGACCGAAGTACCACTTTTCAGATTCAATATTCGTGAAATGAGGACAAGAATTGCTTGTTGATCAATCTAGTATATTTTGCTGTTGCTCATAGATCTTACGTTGATTGTACGTTTTACGTTTAAACCGATGTAAGTGCACTGTGAACACATGCTGAGAAGTCATAGGTAGTTTACAACCGGAAGTCGCATTAGCAAAATTTCAACACGAAATGCGGCAGAGAAGGGAGGAATAACTCCCTGGTGACAGATTTATGGGTACAAATGTCGCTGTTTAGCTGTCTATTCAATGAGGAGAAATTTGCAGTGTACACTACAATGTACTAACTTTGCCAAGTTAGTAGGGAAGAGCTAGTCCAGCTTGACGTGCGACTGCAAACTTCCTTGGTCCTAACCTCGGTCCGGTCATACACAGTCGTGGTTCGCTAATCATACTCTTCATGGTTTTGCTAACAGAAAACAATGCGCTTGGCACCAGTGTCAAGCAACTTTGGATTCCGAAAGGCAAGATCCGTTTTCCAGGACGTTGTTACCATAACACCCAGCAACGGATATTAACCAGCTGTCATAAGCGACCTCTGGCGTTTCATTTCGTGTAATTTAGTTTGACTAATGGCCAGTAATCCATCACACCCGATTGAGTGTTTCTACAAGTGATGTGCGTCAGAATTTTCCGGTTATTTTTGAGCAATAAGCAAATAATGAGTTTGCAGATTGCAGTGAGAAGACAGATTCCACTTTGTCTTATCGTCTTGTCAGTACCAGCAACGACAACTGCAAGCATTAAATAATTTTCATTTTGTACAAACGTATACTCGAACCAACGATGGATAAAACGAAAGTCTTCCCTACGTCAAGAAGTGCCAAATGATGAACAGCAATTGCTTTGGAATGAGACGCATCGATTTACTCCTTGTTATTACATCATTCTAGAGAGCTAGTGCCTACAATGAAATGAGTAACTCGGAATGGCTCCGTATATGCTATCTATTGCGGTTCAACTAATCACTGTGGCTTAAAATAATTGGTTTACACTGAGGTTCCAGCGCACTGTGAGGCCATAGGCACTGAGGAAATTTGCCCCGACAAATGTGTACAACGATGAGATAAACACATGTTCCCTTCTGACTTACACACTCCCTAATAACCCTATGAGTTGCATCTGTTATCGTTTACGTCTAATTTCATTCAGCATCAATGTTCTATTAGACCAATGACCGACTCACTGCGATGTGACACAAGTTTAGCATATGGCATAAACCAATGTTTAGCTGTAGCGTCTTGTTTGTTTCCATCCAGTAAAATGATATAAGTACAAATACCAAAAGGAAACTTCAATGTATTTAATATGTCTTGGATACAAATAACAAGTTTTCTTAGCTTATCCGTTTAACTCAAAGTGATGTGACTCATTTGACAGCAACGCGATTGAAGAGTATTCAGTATCTTCCATATTTTCTGTGCATTATTTCGTCTGTCATAAACAAAATGGTGCAAAGTAAAGCCAATTCTACCTCTTTTTATGTTTCGCATAGGTATAACAAAAGTTTGTTGCTCCAAAGACTTATAACTAATTTTTGTGAACTAGAGAAGGCACGAATATTTGTCATATCGAAGAAAAGTTTTAGTTTAATGGACATTTATCACTGCGCTAAGAATGAAGATTAAAATGCCAAGTGAAATATACTTTGAATGACTGACTAGTGGTCACGACGCAATTTGCTAGTTTTCAATGCAGGGGAAAAAAGAATTTTTCGATTCATGCATTTACTTAACTGACACACGGCGTCACAAAATCGGACTTGTGACTGAAGCATGGATTAATGTTCACTGGTAAGAAATGCTGGTCCATGCAAACTTGATAGCCACGTGATAAAGCAGCTACATGAGGAAGGGCTTCGACTTGATACACGTCGGACGACGGGTTAACACGAAGATCTTAGGGCGATTTGAATTGACATGACATGCAGTAGTGAGTGTGGTTAGTACGCCGAGAGCACATTTTGTCCGTACAGCGGCCATTCACTAGTCTGACACAATAAATTGTAAGCCGAAGTCAATTTAAGACTAAACAGGTTTCCTCAGAAGCTTCATTCGTTAGGTTATCTGTTGAAGTGGATTCACGACAACACGGAATCGACCGATGAGATAGCTTATCAGCGACCGGTGTGAAAAGTATGCCACTAGACTTTATTTCAACAGTATTCCACAAGTTACAGTGTACCAGAAAACCATGAGCTTCAAAGCTGTAAAAGTTGGGCGCTGATAATGAATAATATGCTACAAAAGATAGAATGACTTCCTGCATTTTTATAGGAAGCAGCTAAAGCCCGACACGCTGATTATCATTACTTGAGAGTTTTAAATCTATTTCGACATACGCGTTGCAATGTGCTTCAGTGAATCCTAAATTGTGGTGGCTTTTCTTATGCGTAAACTGGTTGCGTACTTTGTCGTTTTTTGGCACGTACATCTGAGTTTCCGCACTCATCTACCGCCTTACATCTCGTTCTTGGTTGCACTAGTATTTGAAATAAAGAATGCGGGGGATCGGTTTATTTCCTGGACGACGAAAATCGGTTCAAACCCATGGGGTATTTCAATGGGCCAGTGGTATGAATTCCATCAAACAGAACTGCTTAGTTAAGAATACTTACACGCGTTTGACTAAATTCGATCAGTCCATAGTCATCGTTTTATCGTTTTGTTCGCTGATGATGAGTGAACCGCATGAAATATCTTAAAATCGGGAACTATAACGCAGCCACTATTTCACGTTTTGATCGTTTATATTTATAAAATAACGTAGTTTATTCACCTCGACGGATAATTGTAATCTCAAAGTAGGAGGTGTTTAGTGCTACTAAACCCCGTCTCTGGATATTCGTACTTTCCCTTTCCTTCTACCACTCCAATCGGATGCTTTAGCTATATTTCTGTCTCACATTTCCTATTTTACACCGTTTAGAAGTCATCTTAACAGAAAGTTATCGTTTATAAATATCACATTTAACCTTTACTATATCGTTGATTCTTTGCAGTTACCTTGTTGCGGTCGTAAAGGGTAGTGTGCTAGCAGAGTTTCCAATGATAAGGTAAGCGATCATTCTCATTGGTAGCGTATATGATACCTTTTATGTTCCACATTTTACGATACATGAGAAAAGCTTTCAATTTTTGTCTGGAGAGAAGGATAGCACTTCATTGTCTTATTTGGCACTAAAGCGGTGTGTGTTTTCAATTAACTACATAACTTATATATTGCTCCACTAAACGAGAAGCTTGCTTGATGCAAAGCCATTTCCGAAATATTTCGGATGTTTTCTTCCCTTATACACAAATAAATGCACAAAATTCAAACGTAGGAGGTAGATATGTCGAAGGACGAAAGTACCTTAATATGCTTACATGCTTTTGGAGCTCATAATGTTCATCTCATTGTCATGTCATTATAAGCATATCATGGTTATTTCTTTCGGAAGTCTGGGAAATAACCTCGGCATGGCTTAGCGTCCGTCTCGTTCTAAGGTCGCACGGTCCATTTATATCAGTGCACGTGGCCACTTTGATTAAGAGGTTCTGTCTCACGCAGAGATAGCCATCAGTTAGAAACCAAAGATAATAAAATATTTCTAACTGGATCTCTGGTAACTTTTGTTGAACTTCTATAAATAAATTACTTTAGTTGTATCTGCGCTTAATTTGTTCAGCTTCCATGCAGTGTTAGCCGATGACATGCAAAACATATCAACTTAACTGTTTGCTAGAATCACTGCGAGTAAATTGCTGACATTCTGAGACTAGGTGAGTAGCTACTGTCGAAAATATCATGTTTTGTCAAGCTTGACTAATACTGGTGTTGTCTAGAGAAGCAAACTCACGTTTAAACAGAGAAACATTCACCAATCTGGAGAAAGTGTAGTAAGTATTGTGTCTGAATCCTAGGTTGCATGGTTCATCTATTCTAATTTCAGCGGCTATCAGAACTGTGCACAACATTTTCAAACAAACTTATCCTCTGCCACTTCTTTTCTTTCCAGTGCGACTGGCGCTTTCCCACCGGAGAGTTGCATCTTCTCACAGGGGTTGAATTTGGCTTCATTCTTTAGTAAGCGTTATTATCGGTACTTGGGAAGGCACAGTCGTCTGATTCTTTCTTTCCCATGAAACATCCGCAGAACAGTACATTGTGTGGGACATTCATTGAAATTTGATAACCCTTCATCATTTTAATTCCTTGTACTAGCAGTCCAAATGCAAAAGAAAATTATGCAACTGAATTATTTAAGCGGAAAACTCATGGGCATACCAAGCATACAGGCTAAAAATAACCGTTACCTTTGCTAAATGTAATTTAATTCTCCAATACCATTTCTAAAATTAAAACTATAACGCGGGTCCAGTTTTTGAATGCATTAAAAATGAACTATTTTCTGTAAGTATACTTTACTCATTCGCTTGATATTTTGGACGCGTAATTAATTCACAAGACAGCGGGGGAATTTTACGCAACCTAGCACTGCTGTGCGTTACCCCAGAGATTAGGGAGTAATCAGGCAAAAATAACCTCAGCAGTTTCGTGTTATGTGTTGTTAAGAGGACACAATCCTATTCCCTTAACCGGTTTTAGTACTTACCTATATCAGCTAACTACAAAACACCTTTCATACTTGTCGATCAATATAAGTAATTTAGAACTCAAAATTATCACCAGCAGCTTGTACTACGTGTATGGTGGAGTCATTTATTCAGGGTACCAACCGCGTACTTCAAATGCTCCAAAATTAACTGGTACAAACAGCAGGATCCCCTAAAGTAAGAGGCCTAGTGGTAAGATTAGTGCGATGGGCTTGAGCAGAGATGAAGGCACGCCATTTGACAGTCTATGTGAAAGCAAACTGAATGGTGGTTGCAAACGGCATTGACTAATGTACATGGAGTTTGACCTGTCTGGTAAGCGATTCTTCCACTATAGTTGGCGAGTTGGGCACAGCTGAATCTGGAAAGTTGCTCGAATCACTTCACCTAGCAGACGTTTTTATGCCCACTCTAACGCTGTATCTTGACTCTTCCTCCTCAATGTTGCATGGACTTTCACTTGACGATCAGACGGTTTCGTTCCGAATTGTAAATAGAGATTTCACGACTAAGCTTTGGACTTGCTGTCAGTGAATGGTCATAGTGACTGTCTGTAAGTCATGAGTCTCTTTGGTCTCTGTGCCCTGTGTAAGTGGCACACACTAAAACTGTCTACTCCGTAACGTGAGACAGACTGTCAGTAAAACTAAACTTGGTGCAAGCAAGGCAAATCACTCAACGCGAAATTTATTCTCACGTTTCCTCTTTCAATCAATTAGTGCAACTCGTTAGAACGAACCTCTCCCTCATGACTGGAATATGGGATTTTTTTAACTGCTCGCTCAGTGTTTAACCAAATCACCATTCGTTTTGGAAATTAAAATTAGAGCGGTGAGAAAATTTGTGTACAAGCATTGGTTGTGTTTATTAGTACAGTAACCTTAATGGCTGTACTCTCTCGAGACATATAAGAAATTTCAACTAAGTTATGAAAATGATAGCCTCAGTAGTGGATAGGAAAGTAAGCCGTCACTCAAACCTTTTTTACAAGCACCTGTGGGATAAAAAAATATTAATGGTTATCTATGCCAGTTTCCTTCCTAAAACTGTTTCTAATGTACCCTTGAAGCTTTAACGAAATTCTACTGGTAATGAGCTGTTGAATTTTATTCAATCTGTTCTGGAAATCTGGCATTAATTTGGCTGGTGCTGACGTATATAGCACATCCGGAATGAAGAGTTCAGTAGTGAACCGGCATTGGATGAAACGCTTTGATACCAGGAAACCTCATTTAACACCTTTGAGGATCGGTTTTTCGGCCTTTCTCAGGTTCCTCACATTCACTGTGCAATTTTGTCAGACAAACAAACCATCGGTTTTCTCGTTCTAATAGTGTTTGCTCAGTCCCCATATAATGAACTGAGCTTACCCAAACGTTTGGCTCCATTGGGAACAGTGAATTTTTTCACCTTATCAAACATGCAAATGTACTAATACAGTCGGCTGCGTTCGATTATTCATTTACGCTTTGCAAGTTCAGAAACGCACTTAAACACAATAGGCTATCATGCAAGCTGATAATATTAGGACTTATTATAAACACAAATATTTGTTTACAAGCTGTTATTTCATTGCCTGAATTAATTTACTGACATGAAGAGATACCCGTTAATCACGATATATATATATATATATATATATATATATATATGTTATCCATTACTCGAATGATAAGTGGTCAAGGAACATTTTGCCCTTTATACGCCAGTGCTTCGGTTCGAAGATAATGTCAGGAATATACAGTAGAGTACATCACAACACAACTGCTAACTGGTTGCTTCCCGAAGACAGAACGAATGTTAGGCTACCAACAAAATTCGTCACCCACTAAACGATCTGTTGTCGTAATATGCGTACTTTTTAGTGCTCCGTTTTATGGCGTGCTTTTACATGTGCATATTCGGGTAAAGCTTTGCAAATTAGAGTTTTCTGGCCGTATGTATATGGGTTTCCGCTGCTACACTGGCCAACCAGGTTCCTTCCCGCTTCGGGACTGGTTGCATTAGCTTAGATTACTCACTTACCAACGATTTAATGCCAAGTTACACAGGTAAACTGTTTGCCGCGCCGACGTATATAGCGCGATATCCCCTACCTATCAGTCTCTTACCGACCTTCTGACTTTCTGAGCCTACATAACTTTCGGACTGCTTAATGTGTTCCTAAACAATCCTTACCATGCAATGTTTTTGACTTCAAAAGCGTAGCTATTTAACTAATCGCCTGCATTCTACTGTTTTTTATTAGTTGCAACATTTGGGTAAAAGTTAGTGGCTTTCATATTTTCAAATGGATTGTAAGCGCGGGCGCAGTAGATTTTTATTGGAGTAGCTGTGATAGGCCATTCTTTACAATCTTCTACGCAACCTTGGTCAAATTAGGTAGCAGACAAATTGGCCTGTAGTTGTCCACTTTGCAGGGTCACCGCTTTTCGGAAGCGGCGTTAACAGGAGGTATTTCCGGTCGCTCGACAATAAACCTATGGAGACTGAACTGTTGAAAGAGTCAGTCACGGTAGGTACAAAGCTGGCCGATATCGACTTGAGAATCAGTGGGCTCAGTCAGTTAGAACCAGCAGGTTTGATGCCGTTCAATTTGGCGAGTAGTTGACGAAACTCTTCCACACTAAAATACAGACCTTCGAGCCAGATAAGCTGGGTACACGTGGAAACTGATACAGACACCTGGTCATTTGCAAACACAGAAGCGAAGTGCATCACGAACGTGGACCCACCCCCAATGCCGAAGGTCAGGTACTGCCTATCCGAGCCCACTAACACTGGTAGATCATCCGCTGGCTTCATGAACGGTTTCACATAAACAAAGCTTCTTTTCGGAGCAGCCTTTGCAGAGATTGCGACCTGCTCTTCGAAAAGTTGACTATTGCTCATTTGTGCACTGTTGCTAATGTTTTGCTTCCTTGAACAGGCAGCACAGCACTTGAAGAGCCGGAAAAAGAGCATTTGTCCTAAAAGGCGTCGCTGCCGAGTCATTTTGCCATACTACTTGTCCAACCAATGCCGTCTGAGTGGTTCAACTTTCCGAAAGTTCAGTGGTACAAACCGAGAAGATATTAATGTCACTTCCTATTTACTAACAATACAACAGTCTTCCACAGATGCAACTTGAGGTAGAGACTAATTCTGTTGACTCACAGCTTGAATTAGACCGTCGAAATCATTTTTGCAATAGTTCTTATCTGGCTCCAGCGGAGAGGAATACGGTAAAGGTAGATCCATACTGGCTGTGAGCACTGAGTGGTTGCTTGCTGCTAAGAGCTCCAAGATTTGAACGTTATACACATGTTGTTCACAGCTTGTTGACATAAAGCCTAGGCACGACGGAATTGTATGCGCTTTTTTCGTGTCCCTTTGCATGTTTGCTGAGGTGCTGCACTTTTAAGTACAAAGTCCACGGAATTATCTTCGACCTCTTAATGAAGGTTACCAATTTGGGCCAATTATTCTGGTTGCTAATCATCGGTCCATAATTTTTCCTTCAATAGAGGGAGTAGTGCTGCCTAGTAAAGGAAAAAATGGAAACGTGAAATTTTCTGCTCGAAAAGGTCAACAATACGACAGAACTCTAAACCGGTTTCACTTTTCCCCGTTAAACCAATGGTCAACTAGAGGACATATCGAGTAAATATATCCTTCCAAGGTCTCTCCGCCTAGCAAACAGCGTGACCCAAAGCAAAGTAATTGAATCACGCACTACCAGACTTTTTTAGGAAAGTTATCGAAGTGTAGGGTAAAATAACTAGAATCATGTTGTAATCTTTCAGCTTATGCTAGACAAAATTCTGTGCGAATCCTATGACTCTTATATCATGATTGCCCGATTTATCCTGTGAACATAGCCGTCTGCAGTTTGTAGCGGACGTAAACCTCACTTAAACGTACTATTTCGGGAATGCAAGTGATCCAACCAGTCAGGCTAATATATTCATTCATAATGAATTAGTCTTGAAATAATGAATATTAATACTTTAACAGAGAAGTAAAACCCCAGTGAAACTCTGAACATGCTAGGCAAGTGGTTTATCCGTGCTCTGCTGTTATCTTTCTCGTACTTACAAAATTCAGTAGCGCAGCATGCAGTGCGTTTCCGTCCCAGGTGCCAATCTATTTCCTGCATTTTTCACGCGACGTTTATTTTACGATGTGGAAGCCTATTTTTGAAATATATTACTTCCAAATGAACTTTACTCACTGACAATTTCCATCCAGGTCTGCTCTGCGTGTATCTGTGGCATCGAATTGCCCACGAACAAACTAAATATATGGGAACAAAACAACCGAAGTGTGTACTGTATTGGAGCTTGGTCGTGGGTGCGCTTGCGTCATTGGGACTTTCACTTGTTGGAAACTTTCAGGTAACGTAATTGCGAACGCACGTTTTCCGGATGCGTCACGCATTTTGAACATAATTGGCGTTGCAACTTTGAAAGTTATTGCTACCAAGGTGTACAACAAATGGTTTTTACTTATTGTTACACTGATGTAAACACCACAGATTGCATTAGTATAAGGAGGAAACTAGCGTGCTGCACATAGTGCTAAGAACAGAAAGTCATTTGCACCTGTATACAAATAACATAGCAGTTTCATGTTGCTCGTTTAATATGCTAGCGTTGGACTATGTGTCAGTACCTCCCCATTTTACCCTTTCACACGGTAAAGAGTATGTCATCGGTGAATCAAGGTTCATTCATCGCACCACTGCAATCAAGCTGATGGGGGCTAGGACCTTTCCTGCACTCAGACCTACTTAGTGTTTCCTTACAATTATTAGCAATGGTAATCTTAAGCTAGTGGTGGTAATTTCTCACGTAAACATAAGAAAACGCTAATCAAACTACTATGACATGATTTTTGTTCGAGTACACGGATTCCATAATGTCTGTTCTATCACAGCTGAACCCTAGCCTTCACCAGTCTATCGATCTAGTCTCGGACCATGACCACGACCAATGTCAATCAAAGCCGTATAACCGACTGCTTCGCCATATTTATCATCCGTTTCATTAGGAGCCGTCTCGTACACCACCCCTACGCGAATTCTCCCACTTCTATGTAGGCAATTACAATAGCTTTCGTCGTATCTTAGAAGCCATTGGCATTCGGTTCCCTATGTTATTCTAATATCAAAACAATAATTAAGCACTATAAAGGACGCCAATTAAAATACTTTGTATAGGCAGACCGCTAATGGAGCTAACAAAGTTTCACGGGAAACATTCATTATTGACTCGTATATGTTGCTTAACCCGATATCACTACTGGTTGTAATTTTCCAGTTATACCACACCAGAGTGAACAGTATACATTACAGATTAACAGTTCCATGGACGACGCTTCTTACAATTATTCTTACTATCAGCTCTTTCTTGCACTACTTTTAATTGATAGCAAACTCCTAACACTTCAGATTAAACCTTGTTACACTTAGACAATTTTCTTCACTATGTGTTTATGTTGTACAATATGGTCAGACTACGTAATCGGTCTGTGTCATGCAATGTCGAAATACACCATTTATTATTTATTTATTTAACTTCGAGTTGACTAATGCCTGTGGTCTTGTCACCCTAATAAGCCACATTAAATGTATGCTGAAAATGGCGAAAGTGATGGTGAAGTGAAATTTACAAGTAGCATTCTCTCATATAATGGACTCAAATTGATGTATCATACTTAATTGTTCGTCTACTTAGGATCACTAGACAATTAAGCTGTGGTTAGACGTTAATAGGTTTCGAACTCAGCTCTGTGCGATATACTGTTAAGTTGGTAGATTACGCCGAAGCTCAGAAATGCAGTACTGTTAGGCTAAAATGTCTGTGAAAAAACTGTTTAAATGCGGATATCTCTTCCGAGGGTGACTGCCTTTGGTGTCGCACCATGTTCCCGGTTATTCTATCACTACTTCGACTATTAATTTCCTGACATAATTTCTACACTTCGATTGATCTAATCCTATCTCTCAGTTTAGCTAGACCATTGCGTACACTTCCCTGAGATTTACTTTCAAGTCACAATATTAAAATTACCTTAAGATCTTCCATGATATATCCCTGAATTCAAAATTACCCCGGCTCTACGTTGATGTATTTGACTGGTGTGACAACAGACGTTTAACAAACACAGACAGGTTAATGGCTCTGTGGATTCATACACGGCTATCTTCCATATTATTCAAGTAAAACAGCAACGATACTACCAGACACAGAACATAGGGCTAACGGTTTTAATACAAATTTTCAGCGAGTAAATTACTGCCACAGATTCACTAGTTTTGCTTTCCACATGTGCTCATCTTTAATGTTATAACATATGCTCATTTTCATTAATTATCAGATGGTCAATGTGGTAGCTGTTCACGATGTTGGAGCAATTATGGCTTTCGGTGGCTGCACCATCTACATATTCATGACAACGCATATCTGCCGCCGCTATTTGGGATATCGCGCGATATACTGGGTTTTACGTTTATTATTGGCTCTTGGCTGCCTAGTCAGTTCTCTGATTTGTAAGTATCTTTTAACGTTTTGCGACCAATAATGCCTTATTCTCCGACAAAATACGTACAATTGTCAATGATAAGTTTGTCGTTCACGCACGTTTCTTTATCCTTTTTGTAATAACAACTCTTAACTGTGATAACTAAGAGCGGCGAAAATTGTTTAAGGAAACCCCGTTAGTCATTATTGCTGAACATTCAGTTAGGTTGCAGAAGTCGAATGCCAGCGTCACAGATGAGGTCCAGAGTAGTGTTGAAAAGTTTAGACCAAGAAGAAGGCAATCAATAATCTTCTCAGCACATTCTGCGCGGAGCAAAATATTGGTCGCTCACTCTTGACTTGCCACAGAGGAAAATTCGTAGTAATAAAAATGGAAACTATATACTATAACTGGAAGAACTCAAACTTCACAAGTGAAAGCGCGGTTGGTTGTTTGATAGTCACGTTATGTAGCCTATGTCATGACGCACAAAGGAACACCTGGACTATTCCCACTGTGATCGTACCACCTGAGGTGACATCACCAACTGTTACTGTAATGACATCATGACTCAAGTCTCGGGTAACGCGGTTATCGCTCCCTGTTCGCTATAAAATCCCACACCAATTGCACACTGATTCACCTGGTCTGACGATGTTCTCGTGTCGAGGACGAAACGTTACCAAACTATTATACCAACCGATTGTTTCCAAACCTCTCTGAACTCATGACTAGTCTATCGGTTTCAAGTATCTTCCAAGAATATGATGGAGTACTTTTAAAAATAGCGGACGTCTCCGTGGATTTTGATAAGCGCTAGGTAAACATATTTGGGCAAGCGTTATTAAGCATTTTAGATTGTTCAAAGCATTATCCGGTACTTTTCGGCTTGTACAAAACGGTCATGTATTATAGGAGACAGCTCATCCGGGAACTTATGTGCTCTTTTCTAAATTTCTATCAGCGTGATTGGCTTAAGTTGCAACATGTTAAACTGACGGTTCTGACATTGGTTTCGTTCAGATAAGAACGTCAAAAATACCTCAGATGATTTAAGTTTGGCCCAAATAAATACATTGCACGCTGCTTCAAGCTAACGCATCCAGGCCAGATAAGGGATCAGGTTGAGTAATGATGGATAAGCGTGACTACATGTCCAAGGTGCACCCTGAATGGCAGGATGCCAAAAATTCGTGTTTGACTCGGTACAAAAGGATAGCATAGCAAAGGACGAGATCAAAATAACCAACCCACTGAAAGAATTAAAACGCGATAACTACATCAATAGCTCCTTACTTGATCGATTAGGACCTGGTGGCTCGCATCCACATCGCCTCCATGGTGTGCCAAAGGTCCACAGTCCTAACACCCCACTACGACCAGTGATCGAAATGCCTGGGTCTGCTCCACACTCGGTCGCCAAGCGGTTTGTGGAAGTTGTCGAATCTTTACGCAAAGAATAGTCGAGTCGCACAATGTGTGAAACATTTTTATTTGTTCAACAGCTAGATGACCTAAATGTGAAAGCAAAATTGGCGCTCTCTTATAATGTAGCATCTCTCTTTCCAAACGTTTCATTGTTGGAGACGGTTATTTTTATCAGTTCATACCTAACAGGGAGAAATATTGCTCTGTCCATCCCTATTAGAAATGTAAAAGACCTGATTCTGCGTTGCACGTTTCACAGACAGTTCTTATTTGATGATAAATACCATCGACAAATAGACGGCGATTCAAGGGTATCGCCCTTAGGACGGTTGCTTGAAGATATTATTGTCGCAAAAGTTGAACCCAGACCTATCAGACACCTAATCACATCCCTTGATTATTACAAACGCTACGTGAATGATACCTTCATCGTTTGTCTCTCATGCTGATCATTTTTACCTGTGGAATAAATTGAACAACGCGCACCCGTCGTTGAAATTCACCTGTGAGATTATGAAAGAGGGTAAGCTGCCTTTCTTGGATGTTTTGTTGCAACGACGAATGAACGGATCGCTTGAACTAAAGTTTTTCGTAAGTCGACCTGGGTAGGTCAGTACACGCATTTCCACAGTTTCGTACCGATGAAATACAAGCGAAAATTCGTAGGTTTTCTTTAGTACCGGACTATCAGGTTTTGCAGCCCAGAGACCCTGGAGGCGGCAAAGCACTTCATACAAAATACAACGAAAAGCACCGGGTAACGAACTGCTTTCATCAAAATGCATTCCCAGCGCCGGAAGGAGACTGAGGCACGAGTGACCATGAGAAGAAAAGACGTTTCCTTCTCAGTATCTTTCAAAGATGACATACAGTTTGAGCTCTTGAGTAAGAAATTGAGTTCCGCGGTCAACAGAGTCTTCATCTACGCCGAAACCATTCCGCTCATCACCCACTGCTTAGAAGCCAGAATTCCGGCCCATTCCAAATCTTTTGTTCTATATAAGTTCACATGCATCTGTGTGCGAGGTATCTCAGACACACGACCTGACGTCTGTCAAAGCGGATAGCGGAGCATTGTCCCGCCTCATTACGAGGTGGCACCACCAGGAATGTCCACAGTTCCATCCTAGCACACCTACTAAACAGTGGACATACAAACGACAGATGCTTTCAGAATAGAGTATGTGGCATCAAAACAATGCGCGAAAGGTCTCAGAAAGTGCTTACCGGCCACAGCAGAAGCCATTGTGATCAAACGGCGCTAGTCGGAACTGTGTAAGCAGCGTGTACTTGTGCAAAGTTTAAAACTAACGTGGCCCTAGCCTAGTCAGTTGACATCAGACATAAAGGTCAATGGTACGGTGTGTAGTTGATATCTGTTGCCACCCTTCCTCCGGTCACATCATACACGACGGGTCGCCATATGGCTAGCGCTAGCTTCTATCCTAATGATTATGAATTTCTTAATTTATTTGCCTGAAGAGATTTATCATAAAAATTCCTTCGTAGTTTTCTTTCTGGCATATGAATGGACATAATTTATGAGAAATATGAGGGTGCCTTTGCTGTATTCCATTTTGCAGTTCTTGGGTGTCGAATTACCTACCACACATTGTATCACACCGATTCGTTCGCATTGTTAACACGAGTTTTGCCGACGGACCCGGTGAGTATAGATTATCCCACGAAGTAGCATTTTTAAATTAGAGCCGCAATGTAAGTATTGTATTGTTATTGCACCAAGTATCCGATTAAAATTAGTTAAGCTAAGCGTTATTGTTAGGTTTTTCTAAGTAAACCTGAAATATGCCCACCGAGGTTATTTACGCGGAGTCGATGGGAATTTTAGGTGTAACCAGGAGAGCAAATTCACCAGCTCTGTTCTGATTATGTAACCTAAGGGACATTGTAGACCCTCTGCAAGAAATAAAACAAGCATTCACTCATCTATGCTCCAGAATGTCGGTAGAACGGAAACCTATCTGACTACGTGTGGGGATGACCGGTATGATACACTATATGATAGAGAGAAGACTAACCGCAGAAGAAATTCAATTCCGCATTATAAGCTAGTTACTCGGAATTATGTTATGAGTTTAACGCTTTGGCTTAGTTATATGATAAGTCCACCTTGAAGGTATATTGAAGCGATGAATTTTACATTTGCACTATTTAACTAGAACGTATGTAATATATCATCTGTCATTATTGCCGATAATGATGCATAAATATATCTATATACATACTTGTTTTAAAGGTCTCTGGGATAAAACATATGTGACACTCTGTTTTTGAGGATCGGTAGTGTCCATGATCTACCAGAATAAGGGTATGTTTTTCTAAGGAAGCTTTAGTACAGTATGAGCTTGAAATTACACCATACTAGTTAATCAAGCAAACTTCTACTAAGCAAATGCGCTGCTAATGGTTCATCTTGTCTCTAAACCGATCTATAAACTGGTTTCTCAAAGGCTTGCCTCCTGGGTTTCCTTGACATTTCCTTCAAGCTACTAGCACAGTTTAAAAGGTGAACACTGGAACAATGGTCTATGCAGGCATAGACTTGGATAACGTATCTAGGTGTTTGTAGTAGGGTGTTTCGAAACCTTAAGCATTGAACCGTGTTTAAAGTCAGAGCACACCGGCTCAATCAAGTGTATGTACCCTGATCTTAAATTACAGAGTTTACTGCCTAGCCCGCTACCAACCTTTGAGGTGCGTACTGTGCAACTACGTAGGTCTTTTACAGAAATGCGGAGACGCCAGATCAGTTCAATTCTACTAGGTGACTTAAAAGAAAGGTCCAACTGTTGCAATGTGTGGTCAGTTAGTAACACAAGTCTGGGGCACACATATTGCAGAGAAGTTCCTAGGAACGCCAGGTTTGCGCGCTTTCAAAAAGTGGCCACAGCTGTTAAAAATAGTTTGCAGCAGATGCGCCAAGAAATCAAAAGCATGTCGGCCTGTTGCAAAGTGCATTCGGGAGATTTGACCCCTCAATCTACCCAAGGATGCACAACTTTTACTTGCGCCTTCAATTGGGATACGCTAGCCAAGTTCGGCAACTTTGGTTGAAGCGTGACCTGAAGGTGTCAGAGAAACTACAACGCAAAGGCAACAAAGAAAGTCAAGGGCGCCCTTTTGCAATATTTTACCAACAAAGTAGAATTTATTAAGAGTTTTTAGAAGACTCTATTTAAGACCACGCGGCACGCACAGATTATTGTACCAAATACTGAGTGACCACAAACACGTACGCCAAAATTTGCTGAAACTCAGCCACAAAACCGAGCTAAGAGGTGACTGCTTAAAACCGACTTAACAACACAGCCATCCAGAGGGTCGGCGAAATTACTTTTCATCTCGAGTTTGCCAAGCTTGTAACTCTATCAAACCCAGTTGCCTCCTGCATTAATCTGGATGTTTTCAACTACAACTGGATGTTGCCCTTAGTTCAAATAAATTTGTTACCAAGCTGTGCCAATTTGAAATATATAAATCAGGCCCTGGTATAAGATTTATATGTCACGTGAACCCAAGTAGGTATTACATGTCTGAGCGTTTTTGTTTTCATAGTTCTCACAGAATAGGTCCACTGTAATTGCCTCCATGTTATCTCAGATGTTTGTTGTTATAACTCTGCACCCGCAACCGAGCGGTTGATTCACACCTGCTGGTTAATCTGCTCCCTTACGCATGCTCTGTTCGACTCCTTGACAAACTCGACAGGAAGGAACACAGAAGAAGACTCAGCAGACCAGAGTTGTATTAGGACCGAGAACGCTCATATTTATATATTGGTCTCACCAATCCTCCAAACAGCGCCTAGCAAAGTTTGCTGTAAGTCCACGCTCCACACTTGATTGTCCGCACCGTCTGGCCAGTTCGCCGTCTTTCTCGGGCACGCCAGTCTTCACCCGCCTACTCGGAGCATGGCAAAGCACGTGAGGTCTGATGCGAGATTCCATCAGCTTTCGGCTGGGCCCTGGCAACTCGCTCGCAGCGCCTGTCCCAAGCACGATTTGTGGCGAATACGCGAGCGTTGGAAATCTGCTTCTTTGCACAGCTGTCGCCTATCTTTCCGAATTGAGTCAGCTTGCAAACCCTTCGAAGCTGATTGTGTTCCTAGCTTCTCGACCGGGGATTGATTTGCAGCGGTTGTGGGCTTCGCCGCTGCCGAGCACGCATACATTGTGCATCTGTTTGCGACATTTGTTTTGTCTCACCTGGTCGCTGATCCTCAACTTCCAGCCCGAACGTGTCTAGTAGAATGTCCCAAAGCAAAGCTGGTGGTTCGTGGTGACCTTGGGTTTTGCCATCGTTCGGTCTCAACTGATTGATGTACCTAATCCACCTCTCACGTCCAACCATCACCTCGTAGATAACTGTCTTTCCTGTCTATAACAGTTCCTCTCGACCACCCCTTCGGCCTTCGAAAATACTGGGCGTATACCATGTCACCAACCTTGAAGTTACAGAGCCTGACGTTTCGATCTTCCTCCAGGTGACTAGTGCCGTGCTTTTCTATTCTCCTTGGTAACAAATTAGCGAACTACGTGCGGATGTTTCTTCCAAATAGTACTTCTATGGGGGATTTCCCATCTGGGCAGTTTGGATTCGGAGCTTTCCGATGCCTGCATAGAAAAGCTTGATTAGCATCCTGTGAAGCCCTCCTTTGCCCTGCTTTACAGGGTGCACGTTTGAACGTATCCACTAACCTTTCCGCCTGTTCGTTTGATTGCGGATGATGTGGTGGTGAGAACACCTGCTGAATCCCCATTTCCTTGCACCACTCGCAGAAAGAAGTTGAGGTGAATTGTGTTCCATCGTCTGTCACTAACATCTCTGGCACACCGAAATACTGGAACAGCTACTCCAGACCGTTGACAGTGTTTTGGGCCGTCGGATTGTTTATCAGAATCACCTCAGGCCACTTGAGGAATGAGTCTATCAAAACAAGATAGGATTGGCCATTAATTGGTCCTGTATACCCTAAGTGTGTTCGTTGCCACGGTTTCTCTGCTTTAGACCAAGATTGCCACTGACACTTGAGAAAGGTTTTCTCTGCAATTTGACAAGATCCACACCGTTGGCAGAATTCTTCACTTTCCGAATCCATTTCTGGCCAGTATACAAAACTGCATGCCAATGATTTCATGCGGCTGGTACAAGGGTGCCCAATGTGGAACCGCTGTAATATTTGCCTCTGCAATTTCGTTGGCACCACTACTCGATCTCCAAACTTCTGACAATTGTCCACGACTAATAGGGATCCACGTCGATTGTATTACGGCCGCGACTCCACAGGTAAGCCTCCATTTGTTGATAAGACCACCCAATTGGTCTTTGCCTCGCACTGCTGAAGAATAAAACGTTTATTTATTTATTTATTTATTTATTTATTTATGTTCGTACCCACTGCATCGTTCTCCCCAAGATTCCGTCCCGTGATGTCTCCATACGAATGGTGTCGGCTGTTACTGGAAATCTTCTCACATTATCAGCCAGGATTCTTTGGACTTCTGATTCGAAACTGATAGCTGAAAGCACACTGTCATCATTCTCCTTTGGGTGTGAATTGATGATACGAGACAGGCCATCCGCTTGACAGATGAGTAACGTGCGTTTACACTGGATACTGAAGTCGTAGGCCAGTAGTATGACCTCCCATCGTTGCAATCGGTATGCCGTACAAACTGGAATTCCTTTTTTGACCCAAATACCGACAGAAGTGGCTTGTGGTCAGTCAGCAGCTTGAAATGTCTGCCATACAGCATCTTATGGAACCGTTTCATTGTGAAAACGATCGCGAGCGTTTCCTTCTCTATATGGCTATAGTTCTTTTCAGCTGCCGTTAGTGACCGTGCTGCTTGCGCGATAGCCTTCTCTCCCCCATGCGGAAAAACGTGAGAGACAACAGCACCGACACCATAATTGGAAGCGTCCGTAGCAACGACAAGTTTGAAATCCTGCTTGAAGTGAGTCAAGGATAGGTCAGAAGTGAGAGCTGCTTTGACTGCACCAAAAGACTGCTGGCACTCCTTCGTCCACTTCCAAACTTTGTCTTTTGTCAGTAGCTGGTTCAGCGGACCTCTGGTTTGGTGAAGGCTTGGTAGAAAAGCGCTATAATGGCTAACGAGCCCAAGAAACGAGCAGAATACTGCAATGTCTTCTGGGGCTTCATCTTTTTGATGGCTTCAATATTGGCGGGATCCGGGTGCCGACCAAGTTTGAAGGTGATAAACCCAAGAAATTTGACAATTTCTAACAGGAACTCACATTTTTCAGCCCCTAACCGGAATCCAGCTTTCTGGAGAAGCGAAAGCACTCTCTGCAGTATCTGTATCAAGCCTTGCGAATCTGCGCCCATAATCAACACTTCGTCCAGGTAGACTGCGGTATTTGTGATATCGCTCAGCAGGGTATTCATTATTAGTTGAAAAATGGCCGGTGCGGTTTTCACTCCCAAATGCAACTGGTTGTCCTGAAAAAGTCTGAGGTGGGTATTTACTGTCAGTAATATGCTGCACTGATGGGCAACTGGGATTTGCAGATACGCCTCAGCTAGGTCCAGTTTTACGAAACATTTCCCCCATTGCGTTTGCTGAACAAGTCTTCTGGTACCGACAGGCGATACTGATGATCTTCCAACACAGAATTAAAACC